GCTAACATACTCTGTAACTAGATGTACTCAAAGGTATTTGCTAAGATACTCTGTAACTAGATGTACATACTCAAAGGTTTTTGGTAAAATACTCTGTAACCAGATGTACTCAAAGGTCTACTTTGCGAATTCTCGCAAAGGCTTGTTATAAACCTCCCTTTCATCTATTAACTAAGCGTGGAGGAACCTAGCGAACTACTAAGCGAATAATCGCTGAAGTCCAAGAACAGAAATGTAAACTCAAAAAGGGTTAATTACTGTTTATTTGCTCCAAATAAAGATTTACAGTTGGCCCTTTTCTCAGGGCGTACACCAAAGCCTCCACTTGGGTCTGAACTCAAAAATATAAGAAATAAGAACTTAACTAATGACTAACTAAAGAGATTTAACAGAAGCTAACATACTTCTAGCTAGTTAGCCCCTAAGTACCGAATTAGCTTGCGAAACAATCAAGGGCACGTAATAAGGCCGAGCGTAGTAAGAGATGTACCTTAGAGAGACGTGGCCAAAAGGCAAACGCACGCTATTTGAAAACTCTGCTTCTCTGTCTAGAAGTCAGTGGGATTTCGACTTAAATACTACTCCTTCTCATTCGCATTTAACGTGATTCTAACACCTCATTCTAGTAAGGAATTGTAAGCTGAAGCTAGGAGAGATAGGAAATTTGCATAAACTTAAAAATAACTGTCATAAACTTAGGATAAACCTTAGATCCTCAAAGATGAATACAGTAATGGAAGGGTGTAAAAGACCCTTTTATGGAACACAATAACTCACAGACGTCATGGACTTGCGTGCTTACACAAGTACCAACTACTTGTGGAACTTATAGAAGATGTAACAACTAAAATAATAGTGCAAAACTACACATTTCGATTTAACCTGGTGGACTCAGAAATCTACACCGGCGAGATAATAATAATTTCGGCGGCAAGAATGCGATGCCGATACTCAAAGTTTAACGTCTGGTAGAACTAAAAACGTGCACTCTCAATAACGAAATCACGCTCTAACTAAACTTCGTAAGAGATATTAGGTTATTTCGCAGCAGGAGTTGTGAAAAATGAGCAGGCACTCGCCGGGACATTTAACCACGGACCACTCGAATATGCGTCGAGCGTGCTGACCACTGCACTACGAAGGCATGCTAAGAAGTCGGGAGAAATAGCTTATATACTCCCCCCTTTTAAAGGGCGACTGGGGTTTTTAGGGGACCCAAACGGTGGTGAAGAATCATTCTTCACCACCTTTCAATTCGGGCGCCACTGTAGACACATTAGGTTACTTTGAAGCAGGAGACGTGAAAAATGAGCAGTGACTCGAACCACGGACCTCTCGAATATGTGTCGAGCGTGCTGATCACTACACTACGAAGGTATGATAGGAAAGCGGGAGAAATACCTTATAACTTTTAGCTATTTCAGTTTAAGGGGGCTCATACACCTTAAACCCCTTATGATCTCCTAATATGTGACTGTTGCAAGAATTGGGATAACTTATTTATTTTAAAAGTAATTACTTCCAACTTTTTATGGCTGACTACATAATATAGCTAATTTCTGAAATAGTAATCAGAAAAGTTTGTGTTGCCACAAATGTGTCCATAATTCAATCCGCTTTGTAACAAAATGTTTCGTCATGTTCCACCTTGCGCGCAGTTTTGAACATTCTGTTGCATAATTTAATTCCATATTTAATGTATAGCTTTTATAGCATTTAGAAACTACTGTGAACCAAAAACTCTAAGATTTTCATTTAAAAATTTATTTTATTTGGAGTTGAGTTTAAAAAATGTATTTTATTAAAAAAATATGTAATGTTTTCGTGCATAAAAATTTTTAATATTAAAATATTCATCAGATTTTTTGGTTCAATTAGAAAATAGTGCCCATATAAAGAATTCCATCCAATTTCAAGTATGTACCATTCGCCATTTTTAAAATATCATGCGCGCAAAGTGGAAAAATGACGAAAACTTTTGTCACAAAGCGAATTAAATTACAAAAAATTTGTGGCAACACAAACTTTCTGGTTACTAGTATCCAAAGCAGCTATATTATGTAGTCAGCTGTAAAACGTTGGAGGTAATTACTTTTCAAATAAATAAAATATCTCAATTCTTGCAACAGTCACATAATTCGAAGGGTGTACTCCAACTGCGCTGATGAAAATCTCCCCCTCGTCCTGAGATAGTCCAACTGCGCCGATCAAAATTTCTTTCCCCCGTTGGCCACAGGGTTACAATTTTATTTTTCGAAGCCAACTGTAGCCAAGAGGAAAATAAAAATAAAGAAATATATATTTTTTATAAATGAATTGTAGATTTGTTGCCAATCTAGAGAAACTAAGCTTCGGCAACAACAAAGATAACGCCTTCTTTTATTATTATTGCGAATTAAGTCATACTTAATCCTTTCTGGAATTTATTCCAGGAAATAAGTGTTTAAGATTTCTAGAGTAAATTTCTTAGGGGTTGAAATTAAAAAAATACAGCAGAAATGAGAAGAGAATTTAGATCTCTTTCATATCATAAGTTTATTAAGCATTATATACCCTACACGGAGCACCTTAAAACTGAAATACGCACATAGCGGCACAGAAAAATATTTTTTGAAAATAACTATGTAGTAATGCATAAATGAAAGAAATTAAATAAAAACTATCAAAGAAAATATATAATAATTATTACATCAAACACTCTCTTGACCGCAAGTGATAGAATTTTGTTTTCTCGTTTATCTTTCAGCAAAGCTTATACAATTAAATAATCACTTTCATTCGCGTAAAATTATAAATAAATGTAAATTATTATAGAAAACGCATAAAGTTAAACACTACAGTGTGAAAGGACAATTCTGGAATAAAAATGTTAAGAAAATTAGATGAGAAATAATCCATAATTTATTGATATCGATATAAACTCTATGCTTCTGGAAAAAGTTACACATAATTTGCACTGAGGTATCAATCACCGAAACCAAGTTAATTTCTTTCCTTATTTTTCTTATCAGAGGGATTTGTAAAAAGACACGCTAAGGTGAAAAATTTTGCAATATTTTTAAAGAATAAATATTATACTTCATGAACTGAAATTTTTACTATACATTTTTACACAGTAAATAAGTACAAAAAAAGGAAGAGTTAGGGGATCACTGGGACTAGAAACTCGGGTCGAACTACCAATGTTTAGTGACTTTTCCGCTTGATCATAAGACCTTTTGGAATTAGGCTGAACAATATATTAAAGAAAATAGAAGATACAGCACACGTAAGAACAAAAGTGGGCTGAATTAGAGATTTACATGTTTAATGAATAAGTTAAACTTACCTATATGCCATTATGAAATATCAGGAAGTAGCTAAAAGTATGAGTGAAGAAGGCAATGGCACTAAATCATTCTAATCTAAATGTATAACATTATCAGTATCTGCTATTAATTTCAATACTGCTGAAAAAATTATAAATGAATTATATTATAAATCGTATGAACTCGTTGCATTATAAATTACAACAGTTTAGAAATATTATTAGCGTGATTTAGCGACCATCTTTGTTAACAAATAATTTCAAGTAACTAATTTTACAAATAAGTCAGCCTGAAACTAGGTTAGAAAAAGCTACATGCTGAAGATTAAGCTTTGCCAAGGTGTTAGAAACATCTTCTATTAACTAGAGTTATGAAGCAAGAATTTGTAAAAGTTATCATTTAAATATAAATTGGCATAAATACAATACAAATTATATAATTTTACATACATGAAACTTGAGTACAGTGCAACAATATGTGAAAAAGGAATGGATTAAAAGGGAGACTGAAAATCCCAGAATATGAATATAAGGGAGTTTGAATTTTTATTTTTTTTGTTAATTATAACAATTCTTATGCGCTCATAATATCAATTTATTAATTAAATGTGTATTAGAAATAAATGTATGCCAAAGTACATCAGGTGGAAAACAGAATAAATATTTCTAGTATTAGAATATGGAATTTGTTAAAAGTTCGTTTCTAGTATTAAATATAATAAAGTTCGTTTTCTAGTATTAAAATATGGAATTTGTAACAAAGTTAAATAAGCTTAAAATAACTTCAATGATTAAAATGGAAAGCTTAATACGGGAATATATTGCAATAATATTAGTGTGAATTTAGAACGACTTAAGAAGTCCAATTTTTTAGATTTAATAAAAATAATTTTTATAATTAAATTAGAACTGTTTACCTAAAATGGTAAATTTGGAAGTTCAAAATATTCTGCTATCTAAGAAGATTTGTTAATATTTATCTAGACAAGAAACTTATTTAAGGTGAGCTACAAATCCGATATTTGATACGTTGATTATGTATCAGTTTTGTGTATGTCATTAATCTATCAATTTTACTATTCAAAACTGATATATATATATATCAGCGACTAAAATCTACAATTTGGAAAGTTTTTAATTCTTACAGTGAATAAAAAAGATCTGGCTCATCATTCCTTTAAGCATCATAAAACTTTAAAATGAGTGTAAAAGAAACTTATTTTTTAGCACACGCCAGACTTTTATTTAATATTTGTTTTAACCATGCACAATTTTTACAATATTGATAAACGAAAATAAGGCTTGCAATCTCAATAGAACTGTCCATAATGGTGATAAACGACTTCTTGTAACACCCAATCTTCTTGGAAAGAAATGGGGGACAGGAAACGTCGCGCAGTTCGTGGATTAAGAAAGAGGGGGACGGGGATTTTCGATCAAATTTGGCGCAGTTCGTACCCTACCAATTCGAAGATCGTAAGGGATTTAAGGTGTATGAGCCCTTTTAAATACATTCTCGTTCACGCTAACTGGATCATCTAAGTCGATTAGTTACTGTTACTGGTTACTGTACTGAAAATTTAATATCCCTGTTCATTAGTCTTTTTAAATGTTAGAATCAATGGCAAGCATCGCATTTCTCATCCCTGTAACGGGTATACTTTTAATAAATATTTCTTTATTTTTCTACCAGGAAAATCTTGAGGATATTGATCTTGGAGATCCCAACGTAGAAAAGGCAGCTTTAAAAATTCAGTCCACATTTCGAGGTTTTAAAGTTCGCAAAGAACTCAACACGGAAGAACAGACAGAAGAGAATGAAGAAAAAGTCGTTAATGAAGAATCAGGTAACCATTTGTTTATTACTATAATTATTTTCATTATCAGGTTTTAAGTCTTTTACTATTGTAAACTGTGACAAAAACCTCTAGTAGATGTTAGCGACTTATCGCTATGTCTGAAATTACAGCAGAGTCAGAAGAAGGGTTTAAAGGACCCTTTTATTAACACAAAATAAAGTTTAGCATACGGCACCAACTCGGTCGCATGTATTTTGGCCGGGATTCCCCCTCTCTCCATTCATTATAAATTTTTCTACAATAAATTCCTATTACAATATTCAATAGAAAGCTCTCTTATTCTGGATGGAATCCAGGTTAAAAGCAACGCATTTGCCCAAATTGACAAATAATTCGATTCATCCAAGACATAGACATGGTATTTTATTTAATTGCAATGTATTGCCTACCAGCGAATATGAAATCTATACAGATGGGATCCTGGTTTCAAGGGAGGTGTGGGATGTGCGTTTGTTCGTATATTTTTATGGTTTGGAGATCCATTATCGAAAATACATACTGGATAAACATAGTTCAGTTTATCAATCAGAGCTATACGCCATTTATAAAGCCTTGGAATGGATTAAATCCAATTTGATCTATAAATGTACATTTCATATATAGTCGGATGCCTATTCAGCACTCGTCGCCCTCTCTCGGCCGGACCATTAAAATGATATCATGAATAAAATTAAAAATGATTATATGAATTTAAAATATAAAATGTCAATCAATATTCATTGGGTAAAGGCCCATATTGGTATCATTGGGAATGAGAGGGTGGATTCCTGGCAAAGGAGGCTGGCCTGGGGGATGGGATCTCTGATGGTGATCTACAACATTCTAAAAAAGTTACAATTAGCAAAATGAAAGATCACATGTAAAAAACATATGAAACCTGGTCTGATCAATGGAATGTGTCTCCTAGAAGATCAAAGGCTTTGTTAAATATAATAATTAAGAAGAATATGCCTATATATTTTGCGATAAAGACTATAATCAATTAGTAACAGGGCATGGACGCTTTCCTATGTACTTACAGAGATTCCACCTCCAGGGGGTAAATTTATGCCTTAAGGGGACTCATACACCTTAAAACCCATAAGATCTTTGAATAGGTGACTCTTGCAAGAATTGGGATAACTTATTTATTTTAAAAGCAATTACTTCCAACGTTTTTACAGCTGACTACATAATATAGCTGCTTTCTGAAATAGTCATCAGAAAGTTCGTGTTGCCACAAATATTTTTATAATTGAATCCGCTTTGTGACAACATTTTTCGTCATGTTTCCAACTTGCGCGCACAGTTTAAAACATTCTGTTGCATAATTTAATTCCATATTTATTATATAGCTTTTATAACATCTGGAAACTACTGTGAACCTAAAATTCTAAAAATTTCTTGTTAAATTTTTTATTTTATTTGGAGTTGAGGTTATAAAATGTATTTTATTAAAAACGTTTGTAATGTTTTCGTCCATAAAATTTTTCAGTATTAAAATATTTATCATACTGGTTCAGTTAGAAAATAGTGCCCATATAAAGAATTCCATCTAATTTCAAGTATGTACCATTAGCCATTTTTAAAATATCATGCGCGCAAGGTGGAAACATGGCGAAATATTTTGTCACAAAGAGGATTAAATTACAAAAATGTTTGTGGCAACACAAACTTTCTGGTTACTAGTTTCCAAAGCAGCTGTATTATGTAGTCAGTTGTAAAAGGTTGGAAGTAAATGCTTTTAAAATTAATAAAATATCCCAATTCTTGCAACAGTCACATATTCGAAGATTATGAGGGGTTTAAGGTGTATCAGCCCCCTTAAATGTGATACTGCCGGTGACTGCATTCATTTTATTGAAAGTTGTACACTCACCGGGGGCGGTAAGAGCCTTACATGGAATCGGAAATGTAAGAGAAATGATTCAAAATTATAAAAAAGGAGTAAAATTTGCACAAGACATTATGAAAGTCATCAATTCTCATAAACATGTCATCGGTATCTCTGATTGATCGAGCTAACATGCTGAAAGCGTTCAATTTATGGAAACTACCGTTAAAGGGGAGAGAAAGACTTTACACGCAAAGGTGCAGGGACAGCTTAAATGTTTTTGTGTTTTTGTGTGCCGTGTTATTCCTTTTAGTATACTAACCTAATTTTCTTTTCTTTTTTGTTAAGCTGCTAAATTGATTTTGTTTTTATTTGGACACGGCCGGCTCGTGTCGTTTGTTGTTGGAAGGGTTACGCCCGCTTTTCTTCATAAGGTTCAACAAACCAGGCGGAAGGGCTGCGCCCGTATAAAACAAAACAAAAAATAAATAAATAAATAAATAAATAAATAGGCACCAACTCGGGCTTACAGAAGCCAACAATTTTGGCTTAAATCAAAGATAATAGATAAATTAAAAATTAATGAAATTTAAGTACAGTTTAACGGCTTCACATTTTATCTAGCGCGCAAGCTGGCTCTGATCGAAGTCGGCGTAAACAAGCCCAATGGCAGGAATAACTCAGTGCTGAAGAATTCTAATCGCTAGAGAATTAAATTTAGCAATGTGGTCTTCAACCAAGCAGAACACGCTTTGATTTCCCTCTCCATCACCTTCCCTTGAATACTTCCTTCTTTCTACCTAATTTGAATATCGCGCGGGTTTGAAATGTGAATTCTGGCAGGGAAAAATAAATAAGGTTTCGTAAGAAAGAGAGTTAACATGAAATAACGGGTTAAGAAATTAAATTGAACCTTAAAACATCTAATCGAAGAAATAAATGCAATCGAATTTCATCTTGAAACATCATTTGGTACTTGTGTATTATCCTCCTGACCGCAAACCTCTCCCCAAGCAGAGCAACTGAGCTCCAATTATCGATAAGCGTGACGTCACAACAGGCAACATCTCTGCTTCCCTTTGATATAACCCCCATTCCTTCTCAATAAACCAGTGTACCCCACATGACTTCATTCATTCTTCATGTCTCCAGCATAAAAAAAACTAATGTCTCTACAGAGTAATATATCTGTACAGAAATTCGAGGAAATAAGTTTAAGGGAAGTGCAGCCAAAAATGTCTATAATTTAATAGGACGTACAAGGAAGTCATGTGGTGTACACATCAGATTTTTTATTTATGTAGATCATACTTGCTCTGCTGGATTGTTACATTTATTGACTTTAAAAACAGATATTTATCTTCATTGTGCTGCTTGTAATTATCTTTTTTTTTTTCTTTTCAGGATAATTCATTTCCAGTTTTCTACAAATGTTGTCCGCTTATGAACAATTAAAAGAAAGAAATTTCAAGAAGAAAATGAAGAACGGGATGAACGGAAAGTAATGCATAGAGAGTCCACAATTACCCAATCTGTGCACTTACTTTCTACAAACGTCATCAAACTCGGTGCAGATATTTGAATGGAGCTTTTCACTGTTCACGTGTCAATCTTAACGCAGTAAAAGTATTGCATTCCAGTGTACCATATTTCATTTTTCTGTGCCATTTAATTACAAACAAAAATCTATCTGAAAAACGTCCTTTCGTTTACATATATTATATACATACAAAAAAGAAATTTAAATGGAAATCCAATGAAATTTTAAGCAATGTAAGTGATTAGTTTAAGCAATGTAAGTTAACCTCGTAATGCATTCCACCGAGTTAAAAACTCGAGTAAACTAAATTAGATTATTTGCTACCTGAGTGCATACATTCAAGAATTTCTTTTATTCAGATATGAATATAACAGAATAGTTTTGCATTAAAATGAAGAAAATGTCTGAAAGAGGCTGAATTAAAATAAAGAATAAAAAACTGTTTTAAAAAAAAGAGCATTTCCTTAATTTTTATTGATGCATTAAAGGGTTAAAATGAATTAAATATTCATTTTTCTTTAAGCTTCAGACTAAATACTGAAATTATGAAGTTGTTAAAATTATGTAATGGAAATGTGAATATTTGGAATCGAATTTTTTTCATTCTGTATTATTTAAGCTTCAGTTAAAGTGTTGATCCGTTAAAATTCGGTAGAATGGTAATTTGAATTAAATTATAATTTGAATTAAAAAACTGAACTTGGAGATATAAATTTCATTTTGATTTGTTATATTTAAAATTAACCAAAGTGAATAAGTAAATTTGCAGCAATTTAAAAATTAAATTTTAAATATTTTAATCTTTCTTGCTGTATTACGTTAGAGCAGGGATTTTCAACTTAAAGAGAATTCCCTCTGGGGGAAATCCCATAGTTTCACAGGGAAAAAGCGATCAGCCTTTAATTTACCTGTAAAGTATTTAGTTTCAAATCATGAATATAAAAAACTACTTTTATTCAAGTTTTTGTATTTATCAACATGTTTTATGCCTTCTGTTGTTTAATTTATAAAACACTTTAAGAGTTAATCTAAATCTAAATTAATATAGTATATTTATTTTTGGAGTTTTGAAAAGGAATGGGTAGAAGTATTCTGTAACAAAAAGGAGTGTATGAGGAAAGAAAAAGTGAGAACACCTGTTTTAGTCTTTAGTATTGTATTTAAAGCGTTTTTTTTTTTAAAGCCAAACAATAACTGGATAATTTGATTTCTTAATTTTGATTTTTAGAAAAATATTTCACTTCGAATTCAGAATAAATTTTACTGACTCTTATCGTAACATAAATAATTCCGGAAATTTTATTGTATTTAAAGCGTTCTTTTTAAAAGCCAAACAATAACTGGATAATTTGGTTTCTTAATTTTGATTTTCAGAAAAATATTTCACTTCGAATTCAGAATAAATTTTACTGACTCTTATCGTAACATAAATAATTCCGGAAATTGTATTGCATTTAAAGCGTTCTTTTTAAAAGCCAAACAATAACTGGATAATTTGGTTTCTTAATTTTGATTTTCAGAAAAATATTTCACTCCGAATTCAGAATAAATTTTACTGACTCTTATCGTAACATAAATAATTCCGGAAATTTTATACACATAAGAAAGTTTCGTTTTTAAGAAGAAAAAAATTCTTACCTTCCATTTACGTTTTTCTGCATTTTACTTTTCTGAATTTTTTTAAATTTTATTCTAGGGTATGTATAGTGACCGATTATGAAGTAAAAATGATATCATTTTAAACAAATTCGCTAATATTTCTTAATTCAGTTACATTTTTAAACCTAGACATTTTCCATTCAAACGTTTGTTTTCAGCAGATAGAAAAATTGACTACAGGGCACCAAAATGTCGCAAAAACTTTCCAAAAGCCAGTCTGAATTTTAATTAATTAGCCTGCAACGTGTAGAGTTGAATAAAAGATTTTTAAGAAAAAATTTTCATAAAAGATTTTCAGCTATTGCGTAATATTGCCAAGATAAACATCTTTTGTAAATATTTTGACCATCTATCTGAGCTTGCTGTTATTAAAAAATTTATTTGTGCAATATTTTATACATGATATTATGTAACACAGGATCTCCAACAAAAATACGTCTGTTTTAATTCGAAGTTTAGCATTTAAAAAAAGGAGCTTCAATTCTTGCAATCGTTTAAGAATAAATGTAAAGCGAGCATAAATTAAGTTCACTTACGGTGTTTAACTATGAGTGAAATTTTTTCTTCGATTTTTAACGTATCCTACACACAAAATCTGATGTGTTCACACATGACTTCCCTGTACGGAATATTAAATTATACGCATTTTTTCTTGCATTTCATTTAAACTTATTAGATTGAATTAAACCTACTTCGCCGACAGCGCATAAACCACAATAGAATAAATGCATTCTTTAAAATTCACTTTGTTTACCATAGCGACACTCTGGCGCTAGGTTTACTTAACAGTATTATATTTCGTTCATATTATAACTCAGAATGCACAAAATTTATATCATTTAAAGAATTATCTAATCGGTGCCACATGTTCTATTCAAATACTATACTAAAGCTAGAACTATGTAAAAAAGAAATTAAGCAAACAAAACAAAAAAGAAACAGTTTTTCACAGACCTTTGTGTATTTCTCATTCAATTCATTCAGTTTTCACTTCGCGACAAGGCCAAAATACATAAAAACTCAAAATATCTGTATTAAAAATTACGAAGTAAATCTTAAACGCTTATTTCCTGGAATAAATTCCAGAATGGATTAAGCATGATTTAATTCGCAATAATAAAAGAAGGCGTTATCTTTGTTGTTACGAAGCTTAGTTTCTCTAGACTGGCAACAAATCCGTTATTCTGCCAAGTTTCAATTGCAAATAAACATGGCTGCCATCGCAAACATAATTAGGCTTAGCCGCACTTGAACAAATTTTAAATTGTTGGTTAAAAATATTCCATGCAGATTTACTGAAGGTATAAACAACGTGTAAAAGTAATCGAAGAACGTATGGGGTTCCAACCTTTTATCTAGCAGCTGTGTAGGAACCTCGTGACCACTTAAACGAATAATCGCTTTAGTTCATGAAAAGAGACGAAAACTCAAGAAGGGTTAATTACCCTTTATTTTTCAAAATAAGAACTCAACAGATGGATCCTTCTCAGAGCCGAGCGTAGTAATATCTTAGAGAGAGGGTAGCCAAAATACGCGCTCTAGTCAGGAACTCTGGCTCTCTAACGAAGCCGGTGGAACTTCAACTTAAGTACCGCACTAACTCATCTGCATTAACTGAGATTTTAAAAACACATTCTGGTAGGAAATTGTAAGCTGAAATTAGGAAGGACAGAAAAGCAGCTTCGGTAAAAGTATAGTTTAGGGTACCCCTTGGCGAAACGTGGCGTTTTTTGGCGGTACATGGATACCGATTTTGTGCAATTCTTTGACTCGTTATTTTGGCTTGCGAAGTGGCGATTTTTGTGCCAAAAATCGCCGCTACACAAAGCCAAAATAACAAGACAAACAATTGCACAAACTCGGTATCCATGTACACATCGACTTAATTTCACTTAAAAAAAAAAAACCCCCGAATTGCACAAAAATGGCATAGCTCACTCTTTTAACTTTGTCTATGTACACGTTGACCTATTTTCACTTAAAAAAAAATCCCAGAATTGCATAAACTTGCATTACGCACTCCCTTTACTTTGTCCATGTACACTTCGATATATTTTCACTTAAAAAGTCAAAGGAGCACAAAATTCTGCAATATAAGGCAAACAAAAAATGCAGGTTGATCTCAGTAAAATGGCATTATGGTAAACTTGGCCTCTAAAATTTAACAAAGAAAAGCCAAAAACATGTTTCTTATACTTTTTATTTAAGCACTACCAAAAGGAAATATTCACTGACCATGATTTTCGAGTTCGCTTCGTACACCCAGAGCCACGTAAAAATCAAAATATCAATCATACTCAAAATGACTTTTTTCAAACCAGGTACTCTTTCTGATCGAACGCTTCACATAGTGACCATCTGAACCTTTCTTCCTACAAACCCATTCAAATCCATCTAAACGGTTTTTACGTTCGACTAGACGCATATCCTTCCTACGTACAGGACACTTATAATGGCTACTAAGTAAACCTTCATTTACACACCAGTCAATTAAAGCTTTTTCCCCTTTCGCTCCAAATCGTACAGAAACTTCAAATTACAAATTAATCTTACTACATTCGGCCATTCTACCGTCTAAAGAATCAAACCAACGCACACCACAAAAACGCTTACAAAACATCCCATGATTCAAAATTTCTCAGAATCATGCACCCGATTACGTCACAATAGGGTTTCCATAACATTTAACTACTCAGGCTACCATAAATGAAACACCAACTTGGCGATAAATGAAACAAAAATTTGGCCATAATACAAGGAGTACCTTAAAGTCGACTCTACGCGCAGCTTCAACTAAAGATAACTGTTAAAAAATTAGGATAAACCTTTACATCCGTATAAAAAGTTGTAGGGTCCCTCTCCTTTTATCTATAATAAAACATTGAGGAACTTAGTGAACTACCTAGCGACTTATCGCTGAGTTCAGACAACTAAGACGTAGACTCGAGAAGGGTTAAATTACCCTTTTATTCAATCAAATAAGAATAACAGCCGTCCCTTTCTCGGGCTTTAATTAAGAATACGAAATAAGAAACCAAACTGTAATTAATTAAGCGAGACTTTGCCGAAGCTAGACACAATCCCCTAACGTAGTTGGCCCTTATATTAAACGAGCCACAGGTGCCACTAAAGACTCCTAGCAGTCTCTATCGAAGTTAGTTGAAATTCTAACAAATACAACTAAATTATTGCATTCAAAGCGATTCTAAAACCTCATTCTGTTAGGAAGTTGTAAGTGGGAAAGCTAAACACGAGTATCTAACGTAGTTGGTCCGTAATCTAAACTAGCCGGCGAATATAAATAGGCAAGTAAATTATGGCCGAGCTTAACAGCTTCAAGAGTGACTTAGCGAGAAGGCGACCACGTGCCACACAGGACTCCTAGCACTCTCTATCAAAGTTAGTTGAACCTTCCTTAAATAGTTCTAACTCAATTTACATTCAACGCGGTTCTAAAAACTCATTGCGGTAGGAAGTTGTAAGTGGAAACAAGAATGTATAGGAAAGGGTTTCAAAATTAAAATAACTGTAATAAAATTCAAATGTAGCTTACCTGGTGGAACGTATAAGAAATTAAATTTCAAAATTTTATAAAACTGATTTATTTAAATTTAAAAATGCCAAAACATGAATCCTCGCGTCATTGAAAATATTTTTGTAAGTGGAAGTATATGTCCAAGTAAAGGGCGGAGAAGACTTTCGTAGACACAATGCATAAGTACGATTGTTCTGAGTCAATGATTTCTGAAGAATGTGATATTTTGGTTATGGCAAAGCGCTCGGGAGGTATCTGTCTAAAGGGAGGACTCTCTAATAGTAAAATTTGAGAAACAGTGATATTTTTGTTGGAGATTCGTGAGTTTAAAATCGCAAATCTGGACCCTGAATTTCGCGATAATCATTGAGTAACTATATGCTCCATGTTTAAATAAAATTTCAAGTGAGTTTCGAATAAATATTTCACTTTGAATCAAAGTCTCTGTGTCATTCTGTTCTCCATCCCAAACACTTCTATGTTTATACCCATCCTCATTATCATACTCAATATACTGCTTATCAGTTTTGCTTCAGTACATTGTTTATAAGAGTACATTATTTATTACAGTACTGTAACCAGTCCTTTAACATAAATTGTTGGACTAACTCTCACAACAAGGGTGACCTCTGGTGAGTAGCCAGAGAAGTATTTCCTTAAAGCCAAGTGTCTAACCTGATAGGTTGTACCAGACAATTGCTCTGTAATTTTCTTAAAGTTAAATGTAATGTCTGTGTGTAACTTAAACCTGTTAATAAATACTTGTTACACTATACACGACTCTTCTATGAACCTATCTAAAACGACCCCATTCACAGTACATTATTTATTCGAACGATTTAAAAAAAATATTGTTGCATGCGTACGGGTTTGTAATAGATTGAATGCCCAAGTCCGATAAAAGGTTACTAAAATATATTCTTATCGCAAGAAATGTAATCAAACGCTGGAATTTTCCTCAGATTATATTATAACTGATTGTATTCAGTGATATTCGTAGAATATAACTCAATATAATCAGAATTATATTCGTAGAATATCACTCAATTATATTCGTAGAATATCACTCATTATATTAGTAGAATATCACTCATTATATTAGTAAAACTCATTATTAATTCGTAGATATCTTACATTCGTATATCATAGATATCACTCATTTATTTCGTAGAATGTCACTCTCACTCTTATATTAGTAGAATATATCACTCCATTTATTAGAATATCACTCATTATATTCGTAGAATATCACTCATTATATTCGTAGAATATCACTCATTATATTAGTAGAATATCACTCATTATATTCGTAGATATCTCAATTATATTCGTAGAATATCACTCATTACATTCGTAGAATATCACTCATTATATTAGTAGAATATCACTCATTATATTAGTAGAATATCACTCATTATATTCGTAGAATATCACTCATTATATTAGTAGAATATCACTCATTCATTATTTAGTTAGATATCACTCATTATTAGTAAATATCCTTCATTATATTAGTTATTATTAGTAGAATATCACTCATTATATTCGTAGAAGAATATCACTAATATCAATATTATATCAGAATATTACGTCATATTATTATTATATTCGTGAAGTTCACTCATTATTTCGTAGAATATCACTCATTATATTAGTAGAATATCACTCAATTATATTCGTAGAATATCACTCAATACTACTCAAAACGTTAAAATATAACGCAATGCAAAGAGAAAGCTAGTCGGATCTCACCGCGAATTCGCAAAAAAATAACAACCAGCTATCTAAACAACAACTGATATGACATGTTTCTCACCGGCCTTTTGAAGCTTTCAATCGGTCGCGAGAGAGTTCTAGTAATTTCCTTTGCTTCTCGAGTTTTCTCGAAAGCAAAAAAGTAAGTGTAACACAGTAGTCAATTACATTTAATCAATTTCAATACATATAAAAGAGATATTTTATTCAATTTTAAATGCACGTGCTCTTATATTTTTACTTTTCTGACATAGCTTTCTCTTATAATTTATGACTGCAGGGGGAAATAAAACAATTTTAATTATAATTCTACTAAACATATCCAACTAAATACACAATTCGTAACAATAACAATAAAGTAATATCTCTCGTAACCGGCTCCCTCTTAAACT